GGCACACCTCACTTGCCTTCCTATCCAACACAGTCTATTCCAAAGGTAGCACATTGTTGCTCCAGAAGGGATGACAGGGATGCAGCGAGGTGGGACAAGATGACAGATCCCTCCTCTCCAGCTGCAATGAGCCAGAGAGGGGAAGAGTGTGAGGTGTCACCTTTCTAAGGCAAGTGAAACAGGATTCCAGCTGACAGGGCCAACGTATATGCTAAAGTAAGCCAACAACTCTCCCCCCTCCCCTTTTATTTTAATGGAAATGCAGCTAGCTACATGCATCCTAAACTATGGTATTTTTCTCTTTTTCTGCTTGGCTTTCTCTCTAGTGAGAGTGACACAAGTGCTGTATCCCAGGATTAACAACAGAGAGCTATAGCTCAGAAAAGTACCTGCTAAGTGGCAATTTTGCTTTGTAATCAGGAGGAAAATAGACAGTTTTGAATGACAAATACTTGCAAGATAGTATTTTAAAAATATGGTGCTGCCTTATGTTACAGTCTGATAGAGTTTTTTCAGCAAGTAGATATGTTCTTCTTAGCAAAATAAGAATTTTCTAATTCAGTTCCCAAATTTTTCTGTGAGTTGACCACTTAAAGCTCACAGCTTCTGATACAGAAAATCTCTCATTTCTGCAAAGAGAAATGAGGGAGAGAGAAAAGCCCACAGGGCTTCTCTTAGTTGCAAATGTAAAATAAAGTGGCTATCACTGGAAAGAAAAATCAGATAGACCACTCCATAGATTGGACCTCACCCTACTGATTCTATTAGTATTATATATATATGATTATCAAAATGTTGTTAGTTTTCTTTACAAAAAGCTAAAAAACAGTTATCAAAGGACCTCTATGAGCCTGTTAGCTGTTACTCAAGAGCTCCGACTTAGTAGCTTGCTCACAGAGATTTATAAGAAATGCCAGCTGTTGGATAAACTGCAGGTCTATTTGTCAACCATCACTGGTTTGTTCTCTCACTGACTGATGGTTTATCAGCCTTGACTCTCAGCTAATATGCAGTTACCCCAATAACTGCAGACATTTGGCTTCCTGCAGAGAAGTATAAAAGGCTCTCAAAAAAGGAGACATGAATATGTTCCTTCCCTATGCAGGAACCCCTGCCCCAGGATCCACATCCCAGCGTTACTGCAACCACTGTATTACTGTATTAATGCATGATGAGGGTGTGGAGACATTTAAAATTACACCATTTGATGGGCAAACATGTTCTGTGAATGTGTTCAAATCCTGTCTTTTAGACCTAAAGAACAGTCCATTCTTTTGTGCATGAGAGGAACACCAAGTTCAGGGCTCATCCTCTGTTAGGCAAGAATTCCAATTACTGTATGCACACCATAAGGAATTTTGGGATTTTTCTCCCCATCTCTCTGTGTTTGTGACCACCACAGCATAGAGCAATCTTTTTAGTCTAATACTTGCTTCTCTAGATTATTTGTAGTGGTTTTTAACCGAAAAATTTCTCTTGAAGAGAACCCAAATTTTTCCAAATTCTTACATTTCAGACTGCAGATGAACATGAGCTTTTGTATACCTGTTTCCAGGTAAGTTTTAACAGAATGCAACTATGAAAATACAAGCCTATAACTCAGAGTAATCTTTAAATAAATTATCTGTCTTGGTTAGATTTAGGAAGGGATTTTTGTCTCCTCTGATTGTCCTTTTAACATACTGATCTTCTGCATTTTACTTCCATCAATCAAGAACATGCAATGTAACATTTTTATTTCTTTTTCTGTTTAGACAAGCAATTAACAGTTTACACTTCCTAGTTCTTAAGCAATAAACTCTAGGTACAGACTCATAATGTAATTGTGGGTGACTGCTGTAGATACAATTGCTACACAACAAAGTGGGACTTTACACCCACAATATGAAATGAGATGTAGCTACAACAACTGGCAGGTGCCAGAGAGGATAGTTGGGAAGATAAGAAAAGCAGTATTCCACCAGTAAGCAGGAAATAACTTCCTGATTCCTTGTGCAGGCTGCAAAGACAGCCTGTGTTACTAGAGGAGAGAGTTTATTAAAATTATAAGCACCAAAAATCAATATGACAAAGCCTCAGACACCTGTGTTTCACGTCACGAAAGTTACTATTTTAACACTGTGGTGCAGTGTCTCCATGAAATTGGTTTTAGTGCATTATTTTATTGTGGTTTCCTGAAATTTGAATAGTATGAAATCTTTACATTTTTAAACATGCAGTTTCTTGTTTCCTATCTTTCCTTCCTAGAGGGATTTCCAAAAGGGGCCTAGGAAAATAAGGTATGCAAATTCCATACTGCAGAATAACTTGAACCACATAAATTCTGTTCCTAAATGCTCACATCAAGTCTGAGGGACTACAAGCTCAGAAATTTAGGGAAATAAGAAATTAGAAAGAATGTTGACTAAATCAACTTATCCCTTATCCTTATTCATAAGGACCGTGTTATGACTGCAGTACATTCTTCTACTGCCTCAATTTGCCTAAGATATTCTGTATTAAAATAATCCAGAGGGCTTCAACCAGACTTGAAAGTTAAAGATACTTAGTACAAAAGCTCTGAATCAGCTGGAATATCCAGATTTCCATTTCATTCTCTTTGTTTCCCCCTTCTGCTCCACTCTCATCTGACAGAAGAAAGCATTTTTCTGGCATTTTTACTTTTTGCCCCACTGTTTCTCTGGCCTCTATGTGTTCTACCCTCTACTTCAAAAAATTCCCTCTGTACTGGTGTTCCATTTCTGTTTCTGCCCTGCTGTGGGGCTGGTATCCATTTTACTGGCTCATTTCAGAAGACCATATTCTGTGTTTCCTTGTGAGAAGAAGAGAAGGATTAACTGTGGTTTTGATACAAATCTTTACATCACACTTGGCAGTAAATATACTCCAGGTCACCCAGCAGGTTTGGGTTTGAACTGTAAAATGACCTCTTTTTTGGTAAAGATAACAGAAGTATTTTGCATGATAGAGCTGCTAGTGGTCAATAACATGTCTTTTGGCAAGTCTAAAGGAACTCATGGAAGAGACAATTCCACAGGGGGCTGCACCTACAGTAACTCCCCTGGGGTTATAGGGCCCATGGATGAGCAAAGTTTGATCTGGTCTTTACACATCCCACATTGCTCAGCATTCACTGTAATATTATAAAAGTACAAAAGTATATAGTAAATTAATTTTTTTTTCTTTTTAAGCAGATACTTTTAAAGACATTTGAGTATTTCATATTTCTTTGACAAATACTTCAGTGTTGTAGCCCAGCTTCAAGACCTGTAAGATTCTTTTCTTGAAAATGCGAGTAATCTCTCACAGATTCCTAACCATATTATCCTGCCTTTTCCAGTGTTCACTAGCTTTCCTTATCTTTAAATTAAGTATTGCATCAGAGAGTATGGTGAAAAAAATCCAGAGTTATTGTTTTCCTTAGGAAGAATAGATTTTTCTGCAGGAAAATCTATTAAAGCAGAAGGTGAACAGAAAGCAGGGTTAGCGGCCTGATCCTGAAGAAGGCCATGTTTTCTCAATACAGTATATTTAGAAAAACGTTTATAACTGCAGAGAAGAACTCATAATTAAGCAAAAATATATTTTCAATCACAATTCTGTATTGTCCCCAATAATAGGAAAAAACAGTTCTTTTCAGAATTCAGCACAAGATTGCCCAGTGATAGTATTTTCCAACAAGCAATGTCCCACAGTCACGTGACATCCAATAAATCAGCTGCTTCCCTGCATCTGCCCAACTGCTGGATTGCAGATATCGTGATTGTGCATTTTCTGATATTTTATAAGACTCTGCACAGTCATCTCTTCTAACTTTTGTGCTGTGGTTTGACACCAGCAGCTCTGCTTTCTGCAAACACCCTGCAGAGCAAACACAGAAAGCACCTCCATCAGGACTGTTTGCTTTGCCCTGTTTGCTGTTCTGCCGCTCCCAGCTTTGAACAGGGGAGTTCACACTCACCCAGAAGTGGTTTCAGAACAAATCATAAAAATGTGTGCAGCACATAGAAACCAGTGGCCACTGTTCAAGGAAGTTCTGTCCCCTCAGTTCCACTTCACCAAAGCTATTAAAAAAAAATTGCTAAAGCCACCCTTTTTAATCAGCTGAATTAACAGACTATTGTGGGTTAGAGGAGCAGATCCATGTTACATCACTGGAAGAGCCCTAAACTGCCCAAAATCAAAAGTTCTGAGATAAGACTCTTCATCAAGTTATTTTTGTCAAAAAGCAAATAAAAGCATTAAACAAATGTTTCTTCTTTGCAGTATAGTTCCCACTTCTTTGTCTTGTAGTGATGTAAGAAATAGTACAAATACTTTGTACTTCTTTGCCTAAATTAGAATTATACTGCCAGCCTACAAAAGTGAAATTGTCAAGGTCAAGTGCAGATGAAAATCTTTCAAAAATTCAGAAATTATTTTCAGGAAAGTACAGAACTTGTAGTAGATTTATATAATGTAAAATTAATCCATCTTTGAGTCTAGTTTCTCTTTTAAAAGCTCAACTAGAAAATAAATATAATGCATAGGAGAACTTTTTATTGATACACTTGATCAAAAGTAGTGAGGTAAACCTGAACCCTTCACAATGAAACTCATCCAGAAAATGGTTTTAGTTTAGAACTGCTGTCATACACTAGCACTCCTCACAACAATGTTCTACTGCAAAAGTATTTCAACATTCATCTCTGCATTAAAAGTCAAGCTATGTATTTTTTTTGTATTTATTTTAGAATTATATGAACTTAAAAATACATGCTTTTGAATGCACAGGCAGATACATATTCACAAAAGGAGAAAAAGAAAAGGTCACTTTGTCAAAACATTTTAAGTGTCTTGAGAAACAATATGAAACAATATACCTTAAAGGCATCTCATCCTTTCCATCTATGTGTCATTTAAAACATACTTCTACTGATCCTTATCTACTTCCCATTAGTTCTGTGAAGTGCCAGCAGGAAAACAAAAATAAAGTTTATATTTTGAAGGATTTCACTTACCCAATTCTTTAGAAACTGGAGAACCAGCTGATATATCCCCAATCTTTGCAAGGCTGTCATAATACGCTCTTCCAGCCACTATCATAACTGGGGGTGAGGAAAAAAAAGTGTTAAAAGACATCAAAATATCTTCAATTTTTTATTAATCTATGATCCTCTGAAGTCTTGTAATCCAGGGCACAGAGAGTAAGAGAGGAGGATATGGCAACAAGGAAATCTATCATAGAGTTACAGTAGCCCCTGTGCTCCTGCTGATTTGTGAAAGCAGGAGACAAAGACAGAACACCAGAAGACATTAATGAAGTTTCAGCCTCTTATTTAGTTCCAATTTTCATGCAGACCCAGGGGCAATCAGCAGCCGGTGGGGAGGTTTAGCCATAAGCCATTGGTCAGGACATAAGGAAATTCCTTGGTACCAATAAAACTGGAGGAAAAAACCCAAAATGCAGCCCCAAATTTACCAGAAATGCCAAGATCTCTTGTATTGACCAGGCAGAGCAGTGATGTGAGAAATGGCAACTGGCCACGAGACAAGGGACCTGTCATTGCCACAAGGAAACCTGGAGCCCTTCAAAAACAAATTACCATTTCCTGCTTAAGTTGGCTGTTACAGGAACCAATAAGTTCTTAATATATATCATGAAGGTTCCAGTTATTCCCAGTTAATCATTTCCTGGTTATGGCTGATTTAAACAGCATAGCCAGTTTTGCCAGAATGAACACGGAAATGTCAGGACTCAAACTGCAGGAAGGCCAGTGGGGACAAGCACTTTACTCAGGGAGTAGATCTGCAGTGGCTGCCTTGCATCTTCACAGTGTCTAGAACTGATCTGCACCCACAAAGAAAAGAAATAACAAGGACAAACTGACTAATGTAAAAGGGCAGTGAAAAATACTTATCAAAGTTAGTTTTCATAATTTTTTTGTATAGTAAAACATTCTTCACTGAAAGGTAAAGCCAAGCAGACTTGCTGTTGACTTTAGAATACTTGTTTTGTTGTTGGTTTGTTTTTTTTTTTTTCTCTGAGAGGAATATAATTGCCAATTACAGGTCTGTATTTTATGGCTTTTACTAGTAAGGTGACATCTTTGGTCGCATAACACTATATTCACTGAGAAGTGTGAGAATTTTCCAAATGAAACAAAGATTCTTTTTGAGGCTCTGTTGCACTAGAAAAGGGTAATTCCTGCCTCATCTCCATCTCATAGGTGCTCTGTGTTCAGTCTTTCTGAACTGAAGAATTATGGTGGTGCTGTGGTGGAGCACAGTGTGCCACCTGCACAAGGAGTTTGATGCCAGTCCAATTCCTCCTATCTGTGTTTCCTCAAGGCAGCCTCAACTCACTCTTTTCTCCTAATACAGGTACTAAAAAGTTGAAAAAAATGTGTGATTTCCCCTGTGCTAACCAAACTAAATCAAGAACTCCACTTTTTACAGTCCCCTCACCAGTACTATGGCTTTTAATCTACTACAGAAAAGGAGCTTTGACCTTTTGTCCATAAAATATTTAAAAATACATTATAAACCTATTGGGAGATCTCCCAAGTTTTATGTTCATTGTCAACCTACTCTGGCTTTTTTTTTGGAAAGCTACAAAGTGTTTGTTTAGCAACAGAGTATTTACTCCGTGCTCCAGATCTATTTACGCCGCTCAGGACTGATGGTGGAAAGATTAACAATTTATGAGAGTCCAAAGATGACTTTGCAACAGTTGTTGCAACATTGTACACGTCCCTTGGAAATTAAGCACTCGTGGCAGCTCTGCTTTATCAGCCAGTCCTAAAGGCAAAGGTGCCAGAACACAACACCCCCCGGCCTCTCCTCTGTGCTCTGCACAGTTGTATTGTGAACTCCTGGTGACAAACTGAATCAAAAGAGGCACAGTGTAACACATCAACAGCAAAGTGTGTGAAAAGCAGAACCCTGAGAAACTGGTATAGAAATATTTCAAGTGAATATGAAAACACTTTTTGCTACTTCTGGCACTACCTGTAATTCCTAAGGTCAGGTATTAGGTAACCACGTGTTCATCCATCAGGTTAGGCACTACTACAGGTAAATCAACATTTCCCTGTTTTCATTTCCAGCAGGCTCTGGTTTTATCTTTTTTCTCAAGCCTGGCCTAAAATTTGCATGAAGAGAGATTTTAATGTCTGTTTGGCTATGCACTACTTCTGCAGGATCACATTTCTCAGAGTACTAGATTACATGTAGGGCAAAGACACGCCATGGGCTCGAGCGAGGCAAAATTAGAGACATTTTACATTGCTTTAATATGATATCAAGCAGTTCAACAGGTCTGCATGGGTGAAATGGAGCAAGCTCTAGCAGGTCCTACAGTGTAGGCTTTGGGAAACAAGAGCCCAGTCCTGGAAGCCCCTTCCTAGATAGCTTCTGTGAAGTCAGTGATGGAAGTAAACAACTGGATTCTAAAATGTCCTTAAATTCAAATATATTCATTCTGATTTTGAATCCATTAAAAAATACCATCAGCATTAGCATGGGCAACAACAACAAAAGGAATCCACTACTGCAACTCATATTCATTCACATTGTTCTGTTCTCAGGGTTCCTTAGGCAGTGACGTGTGTAGGTGAGCAGGAAGAGATCTAAGGATGTGAAACATCTTTGGAAGATATTTTCAGTGAAAACCCAAGAATATCAAATTTACATCACTTTGGTGTTTTTTTCCATTTATGTTATTATTCTAATATGGGTTATTTAAACCTACTTTCAGTTTATTTTGCAGTAGCTCTGTGCCTAAGTGTTTGTGAGGCAACTTCCTCACAAACAGTGGAAAAAACCCCAAAAGGTTGGGGAGAAGGTACATAGGTTTGTGTGTTTGTGCTTGTTAATTGTTGTTTGTTTTTTTTTCTCTTACTATACACATCCAAAGTTCAACTTGGAAATTAAACTTATACACAACCCTCATGTCTAATATGTATATTTAAATGAAAATTAAACAATCTTTCTAAAGTTAGCACTTAGAAAACTTACCATTAACAGCTTTTTCATAATTCTTCCCCAGATTTATTAAATTCCTCAGTCCTGGATTGAACTGTTCCATAACATTCTAGTGAAGAGAAAACAAAATCTGTGTTATAACAAAGGTAATTTAACAGTGCATGGAAGTGTTTATCTCAGTGTCACTTAGGTCTAGTTTTCAGTTTCATATGTGCAGCATCCATCTGAAAAGTCTGTGGATGGATGAAAACTGGAAGATTTGGGATACAGAGGAGAGCAAAGGATGGAAGAGAAAAAACCTGAGCATTTAAGATCAACAAACAGGAAAAAAAAGGTAAACTATTTCACAAGGGTAGAAAGGAATGTGGCTGTTTATAATACAAAAGGATGTCAAGCATGTGATCAAAGTTTGCACTAAACTGTCTTCTATGGTAGGTGATGGTGGAATAAAGATGAGAGAAAAATCTTTATCCATAAAGGTTTTTAGCCATAGTCTTTGCAAAAAGTAGAAAAAAGGTTAAGCTATGAAGTGGGAATCCAAATTTGTGTTTGCCTAAAGTTGGGAGGTGAAGGAGGGAGAAGAAGCTTTTGCCCAGTCCCAAAAGGAAAATCCCCCACAAAGTTTGAGTTGTCCCTAATCAAAAGCTTCAGTTTCTCCTCTGTCTGGTCAAAGACAACTCTCCTCCTTCCCCCCAAATCAATATTGCAAAGTTACTTGCTATGAGCACTGCAAAAGGAAAAGCAACTGCTATAAATGTAGCAATTATTCACTCCTCAGAATCCTGTTCTTTATATCTTGAACACATGTAGCATAAATAGTGGTATTCCAAAAGCAATACTTTTATGACACAACTCATTATTGCTCACACAGCAGAACTTTCAAGTTCAAGGAATTCAAAACAGATGCTTTCTGTTTACAAGAAGTACAAGACTCAAGATAAGTGAAATAGTATCAAGCTTTTGTCTGTTATACTACTAACAGAATGCAAATATTTATGTTTAGTACATAGATGGACCCAAAAAAAACCCAGCAATACCATCACATGTGTCTTATTTTCAGGCAGACAGAATTTTATTTAATTTTTCAAAGATATCACTATACCTAACTCTATTCCATTTAAAAAGTGAAGAAAAGAATTAGCTCCAATAACACTTTAACAGTCATATTGAGTTAAAATATAGATTTTAAAAAAAATTAAAACTATTAGATTCCAATACTAGTAGAGTATAAATTAATAGCAGACACAGAATGACAATACCTGGCCCCTCTGCCTTTGTGTACAAATTAAATGCAACTGGGATTGTTTTCTGGTCTGTCCCATTAAACTCTCACCCACCAAAATGCAATCACTGCAAACAAACCAGCTATTGTCCCCAGGCCCTTGATTTGTGTTAACTCACAAACCACATCCAGAAATCATTTGGGAAAGTGTGTTTCAGGTTGGGCCAACAATGCCAAGGGCTATTTTAACAACTTAACTGCATGGATATTCAAGCTGGAGTGTCTGGGAACATCCCTCCTCCAGCCCCAGCTCTGTAATTTGCTCCTGTCAGTGTTGCTGCTGTGCCTGTTGCCCTCCTAGTTGCTGAGGCAGTGGGACTGGGACACACTTGTTCCAAGGAGCAAGTTGTTTCTTCCTATTCCAACATTTTCCTATTTCTTCCCAGCTGTGTACTAAAGATGTCTGTTGCCATACGTGGAGTCAGTGAATCACAAGGAAAAAAAAAAAAGTTGAATTAGGGGATTGTTTTAGGATAGAGAGTTCTGTATTTCAAGGATATTGGGAAAGGAAGGTGTATGATGGTGGTGTGTATTTATGGCAGGTAAGAATTTCAATGTCACCTTGAATTACCACTCTGTACTGAAAATAATTTTCCTGAAGAACAGATTCTGCCCCTGTTAACGCTGCTCCTTGAAACAAAAAATTACAGAGTAAAACCGTTTTTGCTGCCTATCCAAAAATTCTGATGGTAACATGACACTTATTTGTCTTGAAGTATTGGGTTTTTAAATTACTGTCTTAAACATTCAGAGGTTAATATTCGAATTTTCTTGACATCTTCTAATTCAGATTTCAAACAAAAAACAGTGATTGCACCTGTGTTATTAGTTTTCATTTGGGAGGAAGTGAACAAACCCCAATAAAATTACCCTGAACCGCTCCCCTCTCTGAAGCCAGGCCCCACAGCTCTTGATTTTCACTAGACCCACTTGATCCATAGCAGTTTTCCAAGTACAGCAGACACAGACTACCCTGTGGGAACACAACAGCTCCACTGAAACACAAGGGACTCAGAGGAAGAGCTCCAGTACATCACCTCTGCTCACTGTGCATGTAAAACTGCTGGGACAGATGAAGAAACAATTTACAGCTCAGTGCCTGCAGTGGCTGGAAGGAGTACAACTAGTGGATCTTTTCTCCATCAGACCAGGCAGTCTCTGGAAGTGTTTCAGGCTTTGCTCTGCCACAGTGGTTGATTGTTAGCAGAACCAGTCTCCAGACGTGAACGCCCGAGAAACGGCAAAAACCTTTGCAATGGAAATTCCCCTTTGGAATCTGCTTGGTTTAACACAGGGTATGGTTTGCTGATCCTCACAGCACTGGGCAGGGCTCGTCTGCTTTCCTGCTAAGGGTTGGTGTTTGATAGACTTAGCTCTGTTTGATAGACTGAGCTCTCCCTGACCCCCCGCCAGGTCTCCAAGGTGACCCAGTGGAATAATTCTGAGATTATTTCCCTTTCATACATTAGAAAGAAGCATAATATGTGGGGTTTTTTTTAATTTCTACTGAAGACTAGATTCTCAAAGCAAACAAAAAACCTGGCCATGCTTCTAGTGGTCTTTTCATACAGTTAACCACATTTAACCACTGACTGTCTTTGAAGTACTGCCCAGGGAGAAGTATCTAGAGCACTATTTCAAAAAGGGGAACTGTCACAGGCAACTCCCTCTTCAGGATCAGGTATGAATTTGACATGGCCAAGACATTTCAGATCAATTAAAATTATTGTAATATTTTATTCAGCTTCAGAAGTTACAGGGGACAAGAGCAACTCAAATCAATTTGTACAGTTGCTTTTTCTTACAGTTTTAAAGCTTCTCTTACTTGTAGTCTAAGGAAAAGGTCATGAAAATGAGTGGGACTGAACATCAGTGCAAAATTTCAAGTCATACATTAAAGCTAGATCTCAAAACTTCTAAAAAAGCAGGACAGAGGACCAAAGAAGAATTTCTGATCCAGAGAACCACTAATTTAAAATTGTCAGAAGTCTCTGAAAATAACACAATCTTGTTATTTGTCATGGTGTACACAGATGTGGAAATGAAACCTCTGTCTTAATCCAAATAAAGATCACGAGGTAAGAAAGAGCCTGGGAGAGACAAAGTGGTTCAGAATACGTTGTTTGACTGCACAGTGAGCACAAAAACACGGCCTCCTAATTGCCAATCATGTGTCCTATATTCCAGTGACACTCTACCTCTCATGGACAGAATAATTAACGAGAAGAGGAGGCACATGATCAGATCCTACAGCTTTCTATTATTTAGGATGAATGGAAATAAAGGGAAACATTTTCAAAACAGGCAACTAGAAACATGTTTTATGCAGAGACCTTTAGAGTTGGCAAAAGTGACCTCCCAAGAAAAAAAGCATAAGTGAAACCTATTCTGGTCATTTGAGTCATTGAATGCTCATATAATCTGTTATAAAGTTGCTGTGTGCCTTTCACATCATGAAGCCAATGTGAGTTATTCAGCCTGGTAGCACAGAGCTGACTGAGGAGGAAGAAGCCTTGTATTTCCACTTCTTGTGTGTAGGTATTATATCTCCCACAGTTCCTGATAGTCGTATAAACAACACTAATCTTCAAAACAAATGACAGCCATTGTAAAAGTGCCTTCCTGTAAATGCTCAGCATTGCTTTTTACTTAAAGACACACCTCACTGAACAATAGCTCAGCAGGTATGAACACAACTGAACAATGCATAGGCTCCCTGAAGATTCAAGTTTACATCCTGCAGGCACTTTTGCAAGAGTGAATAGCAATGTATTTGGATAGAAATCTGAAATTATAAAACTAGCAAAGTAGATCTTGATGTGCATCATCACTGATATTACCATCACTATAACTGTTCATAGCTAACCTTTGTATAGCAACTAATGATTTAATTTAAATTGTTATTTCTTATTTTGAAAATGAGTAATTTTTTTTTAAAGTATAGTGTTGCCATGCTATGTCTGAGAATACACTTGAGGAGATTCAAAAGCCATAAAAAAAGTAAATCATACTGTGTTCTACTGTACTTGAAGCATTTTGTAAATTACTGCATTTTATCTCCTTTAGCTTTTGAAATCCATAATACAGTCTTCAGAAGGGCACAGTTGAGCCCTCAGCACATCTCATGTTAAGCTATCTCAGTTTTAAGTTAGCTTAATATTGTTTTAAAAGAATTTTATCGGAACGGAAAAGAATAAATTAAGGTGCCAGTGTTTATTCAAAAAGAGTAATTCTTATGACTAATTACCAGTCATCTTGATGGAACATTTCTTGTTTAAGAGAAACATTTATATGTCATCCATCGCTGTGTTTCAAATACAGACTTTTCCAGGTTATGAACACCTGCCCAAGGATAGACTCTAAGTAGGCATAACAGTAAGGTCAAAAGAGATAATTTGCACCAAGATGGAACTGGATTTTACACACACACACACAAGCTTCCAAAGGCTCCTCTTCTCACAAGTTAGATTTGTATTTCAGGGATGCTAAATGACAGCCTGACTGCAGCATGTGCTAGGACCACAGGTGAATTTTAGTTTTGGTAAATAAGTCTGGTAATTTATTCTAATTGTCAGTCTTTTTAAAATACGGAAACACGGAATTTTGGACTTTAAACAGAATTTATCAGATATATTTCCACGATAAAACAATATAGGTTGCCAAAGTAATTCTACAATGCCCCTGAGGAGAACACATCACTCCATTGAGCAAAGAGTTTTTTTGGAGGGGCTGTTTTGGTTTGTTTTTTTAGATTATACTTTGGTTGATAATCGAAATTTCTGAGTAAGATTCACTTGAATACAGAGCGACAGATCTTTAAAAACCAAGATTAGCAATGCCAGTGAATCACAGCTATCCTGCCATTCTGAAGAGCTCCGGAAACCTCAAACCACGGGAGCACTCGGTGACCGCCTGCCCAGCCCTCAGCCCACACAGACAGGACAGGTCTGGAACTCAGCACTTTCCTGTTTTGTCCCCTTTCCCCTGCACTCTGTGTATATCCCAGCTGGATGCCAAGTAGTTTTCCCCCACATACAGCAGATAAAACAACACTGTGTGTGCTGTGGGGACACACCAAGACATAACAACTTTCCTGGGGTTACAAATCGACTCTGTGTGTGAGGGGGTCACACAGTGTCCCCTCACATCACGTCACATCACCTCGGTGAGCGACAAGGGCAGGGCTGTGTCATACCAGGGAACCTCTGAGCAGTTCCTTGGCAGAAGGGAGGCTGTGCCCTCTTTAGTCATTGACTCCCACACCCTTGGGCTTCATTTTGCACGAGCCATTCCTATCATGCGTTAGGGCGATTCTTCAGGTATTACATAAAGGGTAAATGTCAGCCCTGGGTTTTGTGTGTGCACACATATTTGTGAATTATGTTGTTTACTTAGTCAGGGTAGCTGAAAAACATTGAGGTATTCACTTTCTGGTGTTGTTGCCAACAGAAAGGAAGAACAAGATAAAAATAAAAGGGTCACCTGATGAATTCTGTGAGTGTATTTTGAAGCTTTGTATAACACAGGTTACTATGTATTTAATAAATCCAATGGATTAGCACTGTGAGAAGAAAAAAAAAAGCAAACACACAACAAAACCTCCCAAAAATAGCAGGCCAGCAAGGTATTAAATTTAATTTTCTATTACTTTTCCAGGTCATCCAAAAGTTGATTTTTTTTGAGAAGTCCAAAGCCTGTGTTCAGCCCTGCAGCACAGATGCCATCACTGCATTACACTGAATTGGTTTTCCCAGACCAAGACTTTCCTTTTGCTAGTAGGAGAGGCACAAACAGAAGCTATGAATTTCATCCATCCCAGCACGGTGTTTCAAGCAGGGTACGGCCAGGATGGCACAGCAAGAGCAGAAGTTCCACGAGCACCACTGAACAAAGCAGAGCAGGCTGAAGCACAGCACAAAGAGGTGTTCATTTGTTTTAGATGAGAGAGCTGTGATTACAGTCACAGCCAGTGCTGAATACACAGGCTACTCCTCTCTGCCCCTAAGAAGTGACAAACTTTTTAAGATTTCAACTTTGATATAGAAATAACTACTTTAAAGTAGATGCTGAATCCATTTTCTGTCTGAAGCAGCCTTTATACCTTATCTGGATAAAGTTTCAATTTTTAATGAGGGCAGGGCAGGAGGGTTTCCAGGTCTGTGAGTTCAAGCTATGTGATACAACATACCAGACCTCTCAACATACCTACACAGAAGGCATTTCATCACACTGTCAACATTAACTTTGTATTACTGTGTTTTTGCTGGTTATTTCAATCTTAAGTATCCCTTTGAATTAGTTTAAAACACAAAACAAAAGGGTAAACTTTCCCAGGAAATAAGTACTGAATAACAGGGAAGGTTTTGCTTATTTAGAGGTCTGTTATTCCTTTAAAGCCTATTTTAAATCATACCCATTAAAACACACAGGATATTTTCTTCCCCCTCCTCTGTAAAACTGTTTTAGCTACATTCTAGAAGTCAATAGACAAGGTAGAACATTCTTTTGTTGGCACAGCCCTGAACAGTCAACTTCCCAGGTTTCTCTTCTGTGAGCCTGTATTTACAGGGTGCTCTTCTGAGAGAGGATTTTATGTTTGCTTATGGCCTTGCCACGAACGTAACTGATATCAAAAAGCACCAGACTGTTTAAGATGACCTGCTCTGGTTCAGAGGACAAATTTTATAGCCAGGTAATCTTTTTTTTTTTTTTTTTTTTTTTTTTTTTAAAGTAATTTTGCATTAAACTGATATCTAAATCCAAAGAAAGTAAACAGCAAATACAACATGTCCCCAGTTAACCGGTGTAATCAAAGGGGTAAAATTGACTTAAGTGTGTTGAAGAACAACAGAAGTAACAAACATCAAAATTTACTCCCAGTAAATCTTTTCAGAGACCTTTCAGTGATGACAACAACATCTTCAAAAATATGAAAACATTTGGTAGTAAACCAGTAAGGTTTAGTAAACAGTAAAATAGAACAACCCCTCAGAAAGCTTTCCTTTGGGCTCAAAGCTGCAAGTGCACTGCAGCTGTAAGTTAAATTTGCAAATGCATTCACTCATGCAAATTTGAGTGCTTTCTCTAGTTCAACACACTGTACAGAATGAGGATTACGGATCCAATGCTGCCCAGCCAAAAGTCCGATTCTAAAGGGAATTTTGCCCAGTTAGAATTGATGTGTTTTGGAAGGACTGCGTTTATAGGGAGAAAAAGTTGAAGACAAGCGTCTGGTGGCCACAAGCAAAATATTTTAAATTCTACAAATAACGAGGCATTTTGGAAAGTTCAAAAGCTACTGACACGAATGGGGCTGCCCGCAGCAGCCGGTGCTTTGAGGCAGCGCTTGGGTGCACCACCATAAATCTGATTATCAGCTCGGGACGCCGGCAAGCAACTTAACTCAGCGTTGAGCCATTTTTAGGCTGTGGCCCCTGTGAAGAAACGGTTCAAGCAGAGGGACCACAATCACCAAACCGCCTTATCACCAAAACACAGCGAGGGAACTCAGGAGAACCGAGGAACCGGTCTGAACACCCGCCTTGTCCCGGGGCTGTCGCGGCCGTGCCCGCCCTGGCTGGGGAAGGCGAGGGGCCCGACACAGCGGGGCGGGCCGGATCACTCACGGAGAGGGAGACAGGGAGAGGGGCAGAAACAACGAAAAGAGGAGGTCGCTGCGTTTCCGCGCCAGGAGCCGCGGCCGCCCCGAGCCCGGCGCGGCCCCCGGGGCAAAGGTGGGAGCGGGAGCCCCTCCCCGGCCCGCACTCACTTTGTACGTGTTCTCCGTCAGCTTGTTCACCTCCTCGGGGTCCCGGGACATGGTGCCGGCGGGCAGAGCTCGGTCCTGCGGAGCGCCCCGGCCCCAGCGCAGCGCCGCGGCAGCCTCGGCTCCCCCTCGGCCGCGAACAAACTGTCAAAAACTTGCGGAACCAGCCGGGGCAGCGCCGCCGGGGCGGGACCTGCGGGGCCGCGGCTCCCGACGCGGCAGGACTGGCTGGGCTGGGCGGGGAGCGACGGGATCGCATCACCGCACCGCGCCTCGCCGGGCACGGCAGGGCAGGGCAGGGCAGGGCTGGGCTGGGAGGGGAGGATCTCCTGGACGGCCCGCCCGCCGCTACCTGAGCTGCCACCTCCTCCCTCCTCCTACTCTTCCTCCTCCCAGCCTCCCTCTCCGGGAGCCCCAGCCTCGCTGCCAAAGCCCAGCCTGGGCTGTGTGGAGGTCATTTCAACTCTGTTGGTGCCCCAGGGAAGTCGGAGGTAAACTTTTTCTCCCAGCAATTAAGTGAGGGTTCTGTAGGAATTAATTAGTTAGTCTTGTCAAAATTAATTACTGTAGCCCTAGTGATGCTGTTGAGGCGAGGAGTGATTCTCTTGCTCTCTTCCACAGCAGCTTCCCATGAGGGGGGTTTTCTCAGAGCCCCTCAGGCACGGGTAACAATGTCTTTCTCCCGGACCCTGGCCCAGTGCACTGCCCGAGCTTTGTGCTACGTGCTACATTTTCCTATTTCTTTCAAATGCACACCTATAAAACAGTGCTCCCAGTCACCTTTCCTCTGTGAACTGACTCACAAGGCCTTCATGAAGCAGGGCTGGTGAGGAAGGCATTGGGAAGTTGTAAATTTTTGTGGACCATAAATTGGCCAGAGATTGTGAGATTAATTTAAAGTATGTTAGTTGGGATATCTTTCTGATAAAGTAATACCAGCACTACCTTGAAGGACCTTGTGGGAATTTCATAACCTTAGGTACTGAAAACTAGATTTGGTGCTGGGTGTTGAGTGTGTGAGATGCAATCACTGTACTGATACATTGGCCATCCCTCTCTTGGTTTCTGTCTTTCCCTCTGATTCCCTCACTTTATTGCAGCAATAAAATCATGGCAGACAGAGAAAACTGGACTTGGAACAGAACCCTAGATGTTGGACTCTGATGTGGAAGGAGGTTGTTACCAGGTTTCAAGAGCTGTAAAAGTGTTTTCATTTGAGCATTGGAGGTGCCTTTAGAATTACAATTACAATTTACCATATGGAAAAAAAAGTGGGTACTTAGAGTGTTATCTTGATTGCAGCTAAATCTCAGGGCAGAGAGGGGGTTTTATGGCACTTCGTACTCCCAGGTGAGGTCTTTGCAAACTTCTGGTAGGTATGGTATTAATTGCCTTTCAATTCAATTTATAATGTTATCTTTTAGGTGTAATGAATTATTTTGGGCCCAGCTCTACAATTTATGTTCCCATTAAGCAGTATTTGCTCATACAATCAGTTGTCTAGAATGTGATGTGGCTGTTTGCCTGAGCAGGAGGTGAAGAGTCACAAGTCTCTTGTCTGAAGAGAGTTTTACAACTTTGGAAACAGATCATGCCTGGGTACTACTGCTTTTATGTTACCATATGCCAATGCTTGGAAAGGATCTCCTTCCCTAACAGGCTGGCATTCAAATTTGAAGGAGCAAGTACCCAAAGGAAGATGTAGAATAGGTTTTCCTTTCCTGATTCTTGCTAAAGGAGCTAGCAATTTGCTGTATAGCAGAGAGTGTTATTCCTGTTAGGGACAAAACATTTGTCTTTCCTCTGAACCCTATGGAGCTCTGGGAGCTCACCTGGCATTCAGGGTGTTTGTTTCCAGTTGGCACACTAGGTTCAGTCATAGTAAATAACAATGTAAGTGTTAATGAAATATGCATATCAGAAAGAAACTATATGGACAGGTAAATCCAGCTCTTTAAGTATCCAGACCATTGCTATAAATCATAAATTTTCAAATTCACTAGAAAACAAAAGTCTGCTTGTACTTGTAATACAAATGTAAATATTTTGGTCTCTTAATAGGGGATTTTTGATCCTACATCGTGTTAAGATTAGTGTTATGTTAGATGGAGTCAATCCTGATGTGTGCAAAAAACAAGAAGTTAGAATGGTCTGATTACTTCTTTTGACGCTTACTTTTAATACATATAGGGTTTCATTGTCCAGAAAGAGGAAGAAGGAAATATTCTTACTTGGGTGGTGAACCCATGTTGTTGTAATTATGTCTGTTCTTTTCACTGTGTCTCAAGCAATAACTGCTTGAGTTCAGGTTAGAGGGAACCTGGCAGGTTAGTAGCTTACCTGGTCCAGTCTCCCATCAGAGTAGGGCTAATTTCAGCATTAGCTTGCTCAGGGCTTCATCCAGGGCAATTTTGAAAGTCTTCAGGAAGGAACAGTTGAGGAACAGAATGGAGAGTTCTATTTGAAACACCCTGTAACATGGCAAGTAAAGAAAATCATCTACAGTGTTACAGGAGACAATAATTGTTAACGTTTCATGTGGGTCTGTTCCCTGAGGGAAGTCACCCATCCAGCTGAGCTCCTCTAGCTTAACTAACATCCTCTGTGTTGTATTGAGAGCTTGGATATTAGACTGTGACACGTTGCCTATTGAGAAAACAAAACTCCTTCCTCATTACCTGCCCTTCTGCCTCACATGACACTTTCCTGACGTCAAACTGAAATGTTGGTAGGCTTGTAATTATGCATGATTCCAGCAGACCCCCTGTTTCAAAGTGATGACTTGGACTTCAGCATCTCCTGGTCTCACTCTTGCCATGGTTAAAAGGTGCTCCTGGCCCTTGGCAGGTGGGTATGAACAAGAGCAGCCAGGCACAGGGGCTGGGCTGGGACTGAGGCCGTTGGCACCTGAACTTGGCTTCCTGCTTGTATTCCTGGGCAGTGCCTGCTCTGGGCCCAGATCCAGCAGTTCATTCCATGCTGGCCAAAGGCAGAACCACATAGATTTAGCAAAACCGCTGTCAAGGGAGGGACTCACTCAAAATAAGTCCTTATATATATTCCCTACAGAAGGCCAGCTCTCCCTTGCAGCATTTAAGTTTTGGAACATGAGTAGCAGCAGTAAAAATTTCCCCATGTCTTGTCAGCCTTATAGAACTGAGACTGTAGTGAGAAAATGGTATTGTTGATATAGCTTTTGAAAATGTATGTACTCAGAAATATTCCTTTGAGTATTTCTTTAAAAGCAGTAATGATTTGATGTGTGATTGTTTTCTGTATGTGTCCTGTTTGCATGCCAGTGACATATTCGAACCTTCTTTGGAAAGGTTTAAGCATGCTGGAAAGGCCCATTAATGTCAGCTTATCATTAGATCTTTAACATGTGTTTTGAGTAGCTTAATATGACTGTAACTAATTACATAAATTGTGGCTAAGCAGTGATCACATATGCATGATACAGCCAGCTGTGGCCTATTTCATTCCCTGTGGTCATTAGCAGATGTTTAACTTGATTAAGGAAAAAAAAAGTGTACACGGTGTGTTATTGAGTGATGTCAAACAACAGAGTCAGAATAAAATTTTCTGAACAGGAAATTAAAGTGACTCTACCAGCTTGCTTTGCTGATTGATATTTTTTGTCCTCAGTTGACACTTATAAGGAATTATTCAAGTATTTTAATCCCCTTCATACTGACAATACAAATGTACACTAAAACTCACATAAAGTGTAATTTGGTAGAATTATATAAAACTTCTGAAAGTTTACTGACCCTTTTGGTCTGAGTCAGCTCTGGATCATTTAAAGGATTTACACCATTTTTTAATTGATGCAAGCAAGCACAAAATCATTTTGTTCCCTGCTGTTCATTGTCCTGAGCTGGTTTCAAAGCAAATGAGCTGTCACTCAGACTTATAGGTCAGCAAGATACTGTGATCTCTGGTCAAGGAAGACACTTAATCAAATGCCTAATTTAAACGTGTAATTAATTCACTGTATTTTGCAGGGTTGAATCAAAGAAGTGCAAGATGCTTTTGATTAACTCCTCTTTCTCCAGACTAAAAATAGGATGATGGTTTTATCTTGGAGATGAGTGCTTTGGATGCCTGTGTTTTGTATCTCAATTGTCTCATGTTGCAAATTATTTCGGCAGATTTATAAGATGAATTATATAATCGATTTCATAATTGTGGTTTGGTTTTTTGAGCGTTAAAAAGAGTGTGTGTTATGGAAGAATGTGTTTTTTAAAAGGTCTTTTTTGAGATTGCCTAGAATATAGACAAAATTTCACATTCGAGGGAACCTAATAAGCAGTACTGCTAGCTGTGCTAATAGTTTTCTGCTGTTAATTGAAATATTTAGTTCAAAACTCCTATACCCACACATTTTGTGACTGCTCATTTCTTGCTGAAAGTAGTGATGCTTTAATTCGCGTGCTGTGCCCACTAGATGGCAAGCGAGCTATGCACGATGGAGGAGAAGAAATATCATCTGCATGCACAAGGCTTTCTCGAAGTGCTTTTTAATGTAACAAGATAGATATTAGCGGTAAGCAAATGAAACAGCATTTATATTGCTCAGACACAGCCTTAGAATTTTTTCTCAAGAGTGTAAGTGCTGTTAGTATGTTCATGTTATTGAAACTTAAACATACCTTGGGATCTGTAACTTTATTTTGGAAGTCAGCCCTAGCAGCAAGCCAACATCCTGGTGAAACTCCTGTTATAAACTTCTAATCCATTTAGGTTCCAGGGTTTTATGACTCACGCTGAAAACAGTATTTTAAATACCTGCGTGTTTGTTATTCTCCCTTTTGTAATTTGTCAGCTGGGGATTAACTAAGAACAGGTGTGCACTGCTCCAAATGGATAAACTGGTTTTGCCTGGGGCTGAGTGTCGAGTGTGCAGCTAAACATAGATCTGCACCTTGCTGCTCTTAGTAATGTCAATAGAGTGGGTATCAGAACCAGAGTAGGAGTTGCCAGTGTTTTGTTATGGGGTAGAACATAAAGACCTCAAGTGGAATGTGATGCTGTTGCTGGGCTGGGAACTCAACATGCACCAGGTGTAAAGCAGCACTCCTGTGAGTATCGTCAGAGAACTCAAATTTCAATGTTGTACTTTTACCTCTTCCTTTTCCCAGTTACGAAAAG